ACGTCACTCCACATCGAACAGCCCCACCCAAATTAATAATCGTGAACAAGTGACGTCGTCCAATAGCGGGTGATGTCACCCCACATGGGGGGGCGAGGCGTCTCCTCCCCCCTCCTCGGCGTCAACTTACAACCCTCACTACAAAAGCAGAACCCTCACGTCACGTGATCTCCGTAACCCTGTTGAGACATAGAAGTAAAAAGGACGTCTTGATGAAGAAGGGATTATAACCTTTAAATGAAATAAGTCTGTGTCACCGCGGCCTTACAAATTGCACACGGATTGATGCAATTATTATATCACGTCGCGGTCTGCTTTTCGGTTACAAGTTTCAGATTTACTGCAATACACCCCGTCGTCCTTGAACGGGCAAAAGGCTAGTGACGATTAAGAATGTCGCTGTCCGGGCACATTCATATGTTGCTTTTCATGATAAATTGTAGGCAAAGAAAACAAGAATGTTAACATCGAAATCTAGGTCAGGACGTAGTTGAATTTAGATTAACTCTGAGCAACAGCACGGGTAAACAAGACTCATTTTCAGCGCATTAGCAGCCACCCGCGAGTCACGGATGGCACCGTCGCGTTCTCCATTGCCTTGCAAGCTGCTGTCAGGACATGTCGGCGTTTTCACCTTCCCGCCCACGTTTTCAACGTAACAATTAATTTCGGGGAATTAAACCGGCTTCGCGAGTTACGCGCCGCCAAGCGAAAGACACCCCCACCAAGATTTTCAGGATGTGAACGGGGTCGAGATGCACCGCAGGAACGCGGGGCGGCCGCTCTGCGAGTGTTTAATCTCACGAGTTTTTCCTTTCACGCCGTCGGGGGCGGCTCGACCTCGCCGATATTATTTCCAGCGCCGGAAGATCCCGTTTTTCTACCGAGTCAAAACAAATATGATGGGTACCCCCACCCCCCGCCGCACCCCGCCCCCCCCCCAGTCGAGATGGCGGCGTGCGCCCGCACGACGTGTCATTGCACGGGGTGCGGCGACTAGTTCCTTGTGTGCGGTCATTGACGAGCGGGCCCGAGCCCCGTCGACTCGCCGAGCTTGGGGTGCGGTCGATGTCTCGCAGCAGAGGTGGCCGCCGCCACCGCCGCGCCTGCTCGTAGCGTCACGTCAAATCCCAGGCAGGGTCGGCGGCCTCGGTTAATCGACACAACTTTGTGGTGTCTGATGTGCGGGTTTGTTTAATGCATTAATGCATGTTTTTAAAATATCTATTTTGTTAACACGCATACCCACAGGAAGAAAAAAAATACACTTCGCAAGAAAGGCACGCGGCGTTACGTGCCGTCGTGTGGGGGGGGGGGGGCTGGGGGATATAATCACACAATCGCCGATTCGCGAGTAAAATAACTCCGTGGAATTTCTGGCACGCTCCTAACCCGCGCCACCTTTCCGCGTGTCCGAGACGCGTCTGTCAGAAACAAAGCCCTCATCGTAAGGATTTCTCCGGCTTGTTATCAGCTTAAAAGGATCTCACGTGGCCTTGGGCGCACACAAGGCAGATATCCGATACAAGTACTGCGAGCAGCCGTAGCCGAAGGGCAAGCCAAGCAGCAGGAGGGCATGATGCACCGCCAAACGGCCCTGCGTCGAGCCTAGCTGCGCCGATTCGGAAACTCTGCACCGCACGCGGTTCACGCCAAACTGAGAGACGCACGCACACATGCACGAAAGTAAAATACACTCGGAACAAATTCTGAACTGATGATTTAAATAGTGAAAGAGGAGAGGTAAACATTACCGCGGAGTAGGGGTGTAAAATTATCCACCCCCCACCCAGCCCCGCCAAAGGCGATCCGATGGATTTCTCCGATTCCAAGTCGTGAAATGATTAAGGAATATATTTTTTTGGGTTTGTGGTAATTATAGTGGCCACTAGTGGCTGGCAGGGTCACATGAACCAATAACATACAACATATACGATTCATATAACCTCTCTCATTGAGAGCGATCGACTACTGCGCAGAGGAGCGTCACAAGTTGAAATTATTATCGAACCTAGACTGCACAGCCTTTGTGTTCGTGACACTTTCCTTGGTCGATTAAGGACTTTGGGGGACTACCTTTATTACTCTGAAGCACTGTACATTTTAAGTGGACTTTGCTGCGGTCGGACATTATCTCTTCTGCGCACCAATGTCACCGCTCCAACACAAAAAAGTGAAACATTCAGCGCGACCAGTTAAGGAGGCGACTGGAGGGTGCAACAGTGGTGTGCGCGCACCAGCCATGCCAGCTGCTTGTCACACGCTGTCCAGCTCAAGAGACGCTGACCCGTCGAGAGAGGGTGGAGTGTCAATGTGACCGCGTCGATTGTTTCGATGTGCTTCGTCGTGACTTGCACGATGGAAGCGGAGGCACTTTCAAAATTATTTCGCTTCACCAGGTGAGACCTCGGGACACGGATATAATAAGTCTCGGTAGACATTTACAACCGCCGATCGTCACGATCGGAACACGCATGTGCACGTGACGACCTCGAGTAAACAGCACAGCAGCAGGTGGGTGGGGGTCATGAAAAGCACCAAGGAGAAAGATGCATTCGTACAGGATGCACGAGAGCCCGGGTTCCCACGAGAGCGACGTCCGTTACACGGGGACGGGACGGATGCGCAAACGTTGGAACTCCGCGTCACGCGGAGTTCAACCAACCATGCTTGCGCTGGGAAACGTTCGCAGCCCATCCCATGTCCACCCGATGTTCCCTGCGCGGCTCAAATTCCACCAAGGGCCCTGGGGAGGATGCGGGATTGTTTTGCGAGCACGTTTAAAGGAAGACCTTTCCACGTTTATCGACGATGCCGATAAAAAGCGCTTGTGAAAACACGTGGAAACGAGGCGGCAGGAAGCCGGGCTCCGTCACTGTCGCCAGCCATACGAGGCAGAATCCCCGAGAGGGTTGGTGGCTCGAAGCCAATTTCGGCGCCGGCGGGACCCGCCCCCTGCCACGTGGCTGAGCGGACTAGCCCCCGGAAGGGACGGCAAGCCGGCAGTTTCCATTCACCTGCTTTGAGAGCTCAGCGGACCCGCGACAGTTTTGGGTACGCGAAAAGAGGGGGGGTTAGGGAGGGGGGGGTTCCAATCTCGCGGTCACTTATGCCTCCTCGTTGTGCGCCCCACATCCGAACAAGAGACGACGCGGCACCCCGCATTCTCGCCACGACGCCGCACCCGGGTCGTGCCAACAGGGCACGGACAGAGCTTAACGGCGCTTCCACTAGAGCCCAGCGGAGCGGGGCACGGCGCTGCCCTGGAGGAAGCGGCCGTACAAAACGAGCCTTCCCGCGGAAGGCCATTGTGTAAGGTCACAGCTGCGAGCGCCGTATAATCCGGCCTCCGCCCGCCACAGTCCGGGACGCTCGATAGCGTTACCCGTCACCGGCATCCTCCGCCACCGTCGGCGTCGCCCACCGCGCCGAGATTAGCGAAACCCTCTGCTCTGATTCAACAGATCCCTCCACCGCCCCTCTGCCCCTGCACCCCATCCACGTTATTTTTTTTATTCTTACGAGCCACTGCCAACGCAGAGCGTTGTGACAACACGGCAAATGGGAGTCAGCTGCGGCTACCGTTCCGTGAGTTTTGGCGGAAATGGAACAGTGACCATGTCGCTCGGCAAGGAGGTGCCGGTTTTTGGCGATGCCCCGCATGGATTCACAATTTGATGTTAAATTGTCAATTCTTTACGATAACTTCAGTTGCAATTGGGTTTGACTCGTATATCCATGGCTGTGTACATATTAGTTAAATAATCACCCCGCATATGTTTCATGTTTCAGTATATACACGTTTTAATTGTACTCTGGTCAGTCGGAATATAATCTGCTCCAGCTGAGCTGTGCTACAGGAAATTAATTATTGAACATTGATTTGTGTTTGTGCAATATTTGAGATGATCTCGAGTGACATAGTTGTTTTCGTCTATTCGTTTCATTGCTGTACTTTATTTTGTTTGTTTAGCTTCTGTCAATTTGGTGACCCAGGTTAGCCTAGCCAATGAGGTCGTCCTACTTTGTTGAGCTCTCACCTGGATAAATAAGAGCAACTTTAAACTTGAAGGTATTTTTCTGGGCTAATCGCACTTGGGCCAGAACCAACTCCGTGGCTGCGTTTCACCAAGCACGCACCAAACTCCAAAACAATTCTGAAATAGCCACTGCAAAGCACTCATTAATCCCCACACTCTCTCCCTCATGTGCTTTTTAGGAACCAATACTAACCCATTGTTTTACCTACACATCATAAAATACTTCTTTAAAAAAACAAACGCGCAAATAAATTATTTGCTACGTATAAACACGAGTGAGCACGCGCATGCGCGCGGCTTAAATCACGCGACGTCCGTGCGGCCTTGCCAGGCCAAGCCGGACGCGCAAACGTAGCGGCGAAGCGGCCACAAACAACGCACGATCCTCTGCTCGCGACGCAGCCACCGCCAGAACTCGCAATCGCACCCCCGTTTCGCGCGACCCAGCACGGAATTTCGCTCACGGAAACGGCGACCTCATCGACGTCACCCACGATGAGGGTCTTCCACACAGCCCGGCGCTCTGCGTTGTTGCACGCGGGTAACGAGCGTTCATTCATTTGTTAATCGCTCGGCTCACAGCGGCGCCCACGTGTGACGTACAGGTGACGTACAGGTGAGCTTCAGAACTCGAGGTGATCTACACGGCAGGGCTTAAACTTTAGTCAGGTCTGTCCTGGGTCAGTGACCCGGAAAGTGTTTTGCTATCCAGAACACTACAGGCCCGTATGCCTCTCGCTATGGATGTGGCTACTCGTTCGATGCCACTTACTCCGGTCGACCAGCAAGTCGGATAATATTCAGTCACATATTAAGCCCTGGGCTACACCTGAGCTACAGGTAAGCTACAAGTGAGCTGTATGTAAAATGTAAGTGAACTGCAGGTGAGCTACAGGTGAGCTATGGGGGCGAGTGGCAGGCGGGCACTCCGAGCAGGAGACGGCGCGCTGTGTGGCGTACCTGTCTGGCAGTGCTGGGAGTTCCAGCAGCGGAAGGAGATCTGGCCGTTGAAGCTGGTGCGGGGGCACTTGCAGTCGTTAATGAGCAGGTCAGGGCAGATGTCGGAGCACTCGCTCACGGGCTTGTTGCCCTGGATGTAGTTGTTCTCCACCGAGTCGAGGATGAGCGTCCAGTCGAGGCTGGACACGTAGCACAGGTCCTCGTTCTTCTCCAGACGCACGGCGCCACGCGTGATGTTGCGCAGCCCGTACAGGCCCAGCTCCTGCGTGGACGGAGCGACAATGACGCGATGAGAGGTCAGAGAGCGCGCGGGGGTGGGGTGGGTCAGTCAGAGCCGCGTGGTTCAGAAGATGTTAAAACACCAAACTGAAACCTTTAGCAAGGAATCATGTCTGCATTAACCACAATAGTATTATTAAAGTATGTTTTTTGTTTGCATTCTGACCACAAGTGTTGTGGTTAATGCAGACATGATTCCCTGTAAAAGGTTTCAGTTTGGTGTTTTAACATCTTAACACCTGTTTTGTTGCCAGAAAAAAGGGGAAAATCAAATTATATTATAATTGCGAACACATGATTACGTGTTTGCAATTTTACAAATATGAAAACATTATCGGTGACATACAACGGTCATCTAAAAGTATTGGGGTTGAGTTGAGGGATGGAGAAAGGTGGAGCATTTTCCCCTTTGGCCCGTCCACTTCAGCCGTGTCTCCGAGCACGCGACCTACGCACACCGTCGCACGAAAGCGCACACGCCAGCGCGCATTGCAAGCCGGTGCGCACAAGCGTGCACGCAAGCAGCCGTGCTCCTCACACACGGACACACGCGCCTGCGAGCAGACACGAAAACACGCGCGTGCACCAAAAGCCACCGGCGCTCACACACACGCGCGGCGCGCGTTCGTCTGCGCACCAACAAGCCTCGTCAGTGTCTCGGCGGAGAGGTAACGGGGCACCTGAAACCGCCCCCCGATGAGGCAAATGCGGTTATGAAAACATCGCGACACGCACACACGCACACATACACGCACACGCACGCGCGCGCGCGCGCGGGGGCGGGGTGTACAGATGCACGAGCTGAACACGTCCCATCACAGAGCCAACTCTGTGGGCCGGCCAAGTCCATGAAAAAAAAACACACGCGGCCCGTTGCACAGATCGGTGCACACCGGCGGGTTTGCAACGCTACCGCCGCCATGCATCATCAACATCGTCGTCCGTGGTCAATCCACTGCTGGATAATGACCTCTCCCCACCCCCCGCCCCCCCGCCCCCCGCCGGATCGCAAGGTTCCGCCGCAATCTCTCATGATCCTGCGACGTAACGGTCCACCCTAGCAGCTGTGTACGAGCTGAATGCGCCGCTCCATCTCCTCGGATGCGTTGCCTTCTCCGACTGCCGATCCGTCGCTTATGCCCGACCATCGGCCATCGTCCCCCTTCGAGCAACGCGCCGTGCCCAAGCCCACTTAAGTTTTCCAAACAGTGTGAATGGTGCCATTAACCCAACTCCAAGTGTGTCCCTCTCACGGTCTCTGCATGAAAATTCCAAGCATGCATCTCTTCATTGCTCTTTAGCAAACTTTTTTTACTTTTTGTTCCGTTGTTTTATCGTTAATGATCACGTTTCTGACTCACAGCAAGTAGTGTGCGATCCACTAACGTTGCCACTGCCGTCAAATATTGACTACTCGCGAGGGTAAAAAATTCTAGTTCGGCACAAATACAAACAAACACAAAGTTCTGTACACGGACGCTACATATACTAGCCATGAATCAGCTCGTGTGCAGCAGATTGATGAATTGCTGATTCACGGAACTGTTAGAGGTGGTGACAGCCTGCAGAGGTCTTCATCAGGCAGTGCATTGATCACGGCTGATGATGATAACGGTGTACAATCCAGAATTCTGTTTGTTTTTGGCTGTGACCGACGCACATCATTGGACAACGCACATTGCATCTAAAGCCCACACCTGACATTGTCTGTCGAAAGCCAAGGTGACCTCACTGTTGGTCCCAAAACTGACCCAAGAACCTGTGCATTACAAAGACAACAAAGATCGCCCGTGTAGCCTACACAGGCTGTTGGGGCAAGTGCTGTTAGCGAGCAGCACCTATGGAGGCCGGCACGGCGCATGAAGGGGCAGTGTGGTCAGCACCACGCCCAGCCGCCTTCGTTGGTGCTGGTGTTTTTTTACACGTCGCACCAGGAATCAACACAAGGCCGAGTTAACCAACACACAGAGCATCACATGCAGGCAATGATGCTGAATAATGGGAAGATCTGATGGAACAAAAAAAATCACCCGTGGCTCTCCTTCCCTCTATCAATAATAATTTAGGGGCATTGTTTGTATCTTCTTTGCAGCACTGAGCCAGGGGTGGAGGTTCCACATTCCTATGGCAGAAGCGAGGCATTCCATACGGCAACTGCTGTGGACTCCTCCACCCCATGTGGTTCTCATTCCGTCGACCACTCCCCCCCCCACCCGGGCACGGTTCAGACGTTGCTCACGGCCACCGATGTTAGCCATGGCTGGGAATTAAACTCAGTGCAGTGCACTTACTACCCAATCTCCATATATATAAAAAGGCAAAGGTGCGAATATGCGTGTCCGTTCAAAATGTTTAGCGTACTTCCCGACATGCAACAAACTTGTAGTGGTTAGCGCGCCGCGCTACGAACCCGTCGACCCGAGTTCGATTCCCGCTCACGGCCACCACCGGTGACGATTATTTGAACCGGTCCTGGGCCTCCCCTAGGTCGACTCAGCCTCAAACAATTAACTGGTGTGGGGAGACAAAGGCGGCAGGGCGTGGTGAATCCAAGTCCCGGGCGAAGCCGCGTAGTAAAGCTAGTGCTTAATAAACAACACCAGGAGGAATCACAGGGAAGGAAGGAACCAAGATGCGTCTTTGACAGGATTTCACGGACAGGTGCCGCACGGCACGCAGACACAGATCACACCGCACAACCAGCCAACCCAGGCAGCGCAGTGGTGCCAGTCTATCACAGCACGGGGAGACACGGCACAGTGAGACACGGACCACACGCGCTCGGCCACGTGGAACACGGGGCGAAGCGACTTCTACTCCACCTTGAGGCTGAGCATCTCAAAGACGACGAGGGCGTAGTTGTAGAAGAGGCGGTTGCCACGGATGACGGCGAGGTTCGGGAAGAGGTCCTTGAGGCTCTCGAGACCGTAGACACGGAAGAGGAGCAGGTAGTCGGTGATCATGGTGAGGTTGGGGAAGCTGATCCCACGGAAGTAGCTGGGGCTGGGGTCGCGGATGAGCAGGATCTGCAGGTAGCCCTCGATGATGGTGCAGTTCTCAAGCTGCTTCAGCTGAGACACGGTGTTCCGCACGTCCATGCTCGAGCAGACTGCGCGAGTGGGAGAGGGAGACAGAGACAGCCGAGCGCGAGAGAGTCAAGGATTGGCAGGTTGCAGCTCGCTTACTCGCTCACCCGCTTGCTCAAAACGCATCCTGTAGCAGTGACGCACCGTTATCACCAGTGTCATCATCACGACCAGCATCATCTCTTCATGATCAGCAATATCATCAGTCATCTTCACCAGCATTATCACTGACACTCAGATCAATGTCATCATCATCATCACAGGCATCATCATCATCAACATCATCGTCGTCCTCGCCATATCTAAAATCAACCTCATCATCGTACTGTTTTTGTTCTCGTAGTTTTATGTGTGTAGCTTTGTGTATTCTCACACACACATAAACCAAATAAACACATCTGCATTGAATGGAAAGAACTTATGTTTCTGCCAACTAACCTTCTTCTGTAAGGGTGACATATGCCCGCAAGTGTGTGTAAACTATTGTCATTGATACATTTCAATTTTTTTTCACATACTTGCATTTATCAACTGCAATATAAAAATAAGTATAATGAAACAAAACAAGCGCTGGTGTTTCGCTGCATGGGTATCCAGATGTGAGCAGAAAGTCCCTCCGTGTTTGTTTGCTACAGGTGCTGGCCCCGGATTGTATCGGAGGTGGAGGAAATGCTGTACTCTCCAGATGAGGGATGGCTTCCGAGTGGAGACGGACATCGGCAGAACCCAACAACAACAAGTGCCACAGCCTACACCTGCAGCAGCAACAGTCATAGCCGCAGCAACAGCAGCTGCAGTTCAGGCTGCAAAGAGACCCATTTTTTTTCCCCCAGGGATTGAATTGTGTTGCGTGTGTGTGTAAAGCTTGTTGTGAATCCGCTACGGGATGCAGGCCTCTCCACGCCGTTGTTATTGCCCGTACTTCACCACGCTGGTCACTGCGAGCGTTGGTGAAGGGCGGGTGGGGGACCGGGGGAGGGGTGAGACCAGGGACGGTTCGGATATCGCTCGCCACTGAAAACAGCCGTGGCCAGGAATCAAACTCGGGTGTGTGGCATGGGCAGCACACCAACGCCTGTGCCACCACTTTGCAATCGCCGCTCGGAGAATTGTGAGACAGAAAACACGGAAACGGGATCGTGGGCGATGTTGCTTTTTCTCATAACTGTTCTTTGAAGTCGCACAGCCATAGGGATTTCAGTCATTTACATAACCCTCGGTGCATGCTCGCATCGACATTAATAACTTATATAAGCCAAACGTTTGAGGCATTGCTAACATTGTTGATGCTGTGGCACGGTATGGCAGTTGCAGCTGTCAGCTGAGTGTGCGCTCGGAAGATCCCTTTTCAACCAAGGGCTGTGTTAAACTCTCCGTGTTAACGTATTGTTATGTTAACATTGTTTCACGATGTTCGTTTTTACCTGAAAACAAAGGTTATTCTCTGTAATCGCCGTTGCACTTCCTCCAAGTGATATTTTGGGCAACTGCCGCAAATATATACAGTTATCGTTATTTAACCTCAAGTCTACGCTAATATGTGTAATTTGGGGGCCAAAGTAGGGGAAGCAAAAACAATTACTTTGCAGTTTTGTTGTTTTGGCTATATTTGCGCAAAGTTAGAGTTTTCTAGCTCTTCTGAAAGTCAAGTTAACTCATCCTTCCATTTTGGGAGACCCAAATGGGGGGAGGGGCAAATATAAAATTTAAGTTTTCAGATTGTGCTCGTTGTAGGCATCAACTTGACCATGTTTGTGACAATTCAGAGCCTTCTAGCACGTCTAGAAGTGCAAGTTCACTCACCCTCACTCGTTTTTTGGGGTGGACAAAAATGGCCACCATTTTATTTCAAGATGGCGGATTTGTTTTTCCTCTCTCTTCCCGACAACAGGGACCAACAACCCGTCCTCCCCGTTGCCTGACAAATGATTTGGTTCATGTCCCATTAAAATCTGTTGAGGATTACGCCAATAGAATGCCGAGTGACAGAGAAGACAAAAATAAATAAAAAAGGAGATTCCATTCATTACCTTCACCGTTTTCAATGAAAGAGCAAAAGAACAAAAATCATTTAAGGCCGAAAAAAAGGCAGGCAACAACAATAAAAAACGAGCGTACGTAAGTTATCTTCACGAAGCGTTAATGGCGCGTGTCGGCGCGCGAGGTCGCCGGGGTTTATGGGATATTAAACGTGGGCACGCGAACTTCGGGAGTCCACAGCTGTTGACCTGTGGCACCATGCCGTAAATCAATCACCGGCGCAGTCTGCCCGTCACACACACTCAACCCCTCCCCCAAAAAATCCCTGCCTACCCACTTCATTACCACAGGTTAAGTATTTCCCTTTCTATCTGTTGCTGTGGCGCTTCAAGCCGTCCGCATATATATTATAAATAATCCACTCCTGGGTGAAGGCCTTCCTATGCCGTGTCAGTCATGAAGGTGGTTTGAGCATACTTCACCGTACTGCTCAGTGATGGCTAAAGGATGAATGACCAGGACCGGTTCACATACTACTCTCTACTGATGGCAGCCGTGACCCAGAGTCGAACTCAGGCAGCCTGAGTTCGAAGTGTGGTGCGCTAACCTGTGCACCACCGCTCCCACCCAATTTGAATATTAAGTTGTCAATCGACTGCGGAATTAAGGTATACCCCAGAAGTGTAAGGCGTGGGGGTCTTGTTTGACTATACTTCACCACACTGGCCGGTGCAGGTTGGTCAAAGGGAGCAGGGGGCCAGGACCGGCCGAGATACCACTCACCACTGGTGTGTGCTGTGACCGGGAATCGAACTCGGGTCACCAGGTTCACAGTGCAGTACGCTTTCAACCACTGCTTACCCCGTGCGCGCACATATATGCATAAACAAACGCACAAGCCAAGCGCATTAAGTACTTCAAGCTGGGGAAAGTTAATTTTAAACAGACACGGTTGCCTGCGTTTCAAGTAAAATAATCGTGATTTTGCTTCAGCGCTAACACAGCGCGTGCACACCACACAGATGTGAGAGACACACACCGTCCAATCTCTCCCGTGGGGCACACAGCAAGGCCAAGGAGGTGACCTACCACGGACATGCCACATCCCTGTGGCAACATTTCGTAAAACTCGTGCTGTTGGCGGCTTGCACCAGGTTACATTGCTAAACACCCCAGAATTCTCAGGCTCGCTCGACAATCACTGCGTCGCCTACAACTGGAATGCTTGAATTGTAAATCAACTACTTTTTTTGTAGCCGATTATTCAGGCCCGTTTAAAAATGACGGGCGCCCTGACATCTCTGCCGCCCGAAGGTGGGGAACCCTCCCCCCTCTACAACCCACACCCAGCGAGCCATGGCTGATGATGCCCATGGCGTCGGTAAGCCCCACCGCCGCCCGTCCAGCGACACACGCGACATGATTTTTCACCCCAACTATTTTCGCGTTGTCCGACTGGTCGAGTCATGGACACCGATAAATATATAATCGGTGGAGTGATCGGGGACTCCTGGAGATGTGGAGCGTTGAGATCTGTTCGTGTGCAGGAGTGAGATGGATGGTAAACAGCACTGGACGACAATGTCAGAAGGCTTTCATCCAGCAGCAGATAGAGAAATAACGGGATGATGACAAAAATTGTGGTTGAAGAGTAGATAGAGACAGGGATACGGAGAAGTATATATATAGCTCACCATGACCAAAATTAGCAGTTTGCATCTATGGGAGACACCAATAAAAGTGGGCAGATTAACACCTTTGGGCAGAGAGACTTTACTTCCCGTTAAGTATTTTCAAGCCATGGGACAGAAATGCCGACGCCCCCATATGCGATTGATTTAAATAAAAAGTTGGAAAACCGAACTTGTAACTTATATAACACGCGCGTGAATAAGTGCGGAGCATTGGCAGCCAAACAATGTTAAGCAGGTCCGAAACCATTAATGCTTTCGGCAAAGAGTGCATTCGGAGGATGCCGATGTCACAAGAGCGTCTGCTCAAAAGTCTCCACCGTCCACGCAAAGTTTTTCAATAACAAATGGGGCGGGCGTTTGTAACGAACATCACAGCGGTTGCGTTACTCAAAACAGATCAAACAAGAACCTCTTTGCTGCGTTTCACAGTGAATATTCCCGCTGCGAGTCAAACAGGAGGGGGGATTGCCAACAACAAACTGGCCAAAAACATCTGGCGGTGCCCTCTATCATCACCAATGGATACAATGACGGGGTGGAAAGGGCACGGTGAGTTCGGTGGTATTTCGTCGGAGCTTCGTGATATTAAGAACCCCGTCGGGCCACATTTCCCAATGCATGGGGCAGGGAATTGAACTTGGGCGGCTGGGATTGTAGGCGCACGGTGGAGGAACCGCTTCGCTACATGCGCACAAAAAATCGATCCCCTCCACCGTAAAAAAGCTTCCTCCACGTTAACCGCACTACCTCATACAACGCAACCACATACTACACAGACGCGCGGTCAACTATCGATGCTCTGCATGTGGGTTATCCGTGGTTGCTACAAAAGGAAAATAATATAACGTACGATATTTCACGCTCGCCCAATCCTCTGCTGGGTATTATTAGTCGCTCATCAGTCGTGACTCAGTGACTGATCACCTTAATAAATAATAAAAACAGACGAAACATTCCACGGGTCTTTAACCCTATTCCACAAAAGTAAACAATACGGAATTACAGCCTCGCTGAAATGTTTTACAATACGTAGGCAAAATTTTGATTTAAAGCTTTCATGACTGCAGGGATTCATATTATTGGTTCTTTCGGTAAAGTCACGTAGAAGGGAAACAATAAAATAATAAAAATATAAAACAATAAAATTTGCCACTTTTTTCAAAATTTTAACTTTTTTCAAATTTTTCTTGCTGTGGTTTTCACACCTGATGATGATTGCTTGTGTTGCAGTCGAAACGTCGTGAGAATTTTATTGTTTTATATTTTTATTGTTTCCCTTCTATGTGACTTTACCGAAAGAACCAAGCATAATAATACGTAGGTTGTTTTGGTTTTATACAGGCCATATC